AACCAACAACAATGATAACAACAACAACAACAACAAACAACAACAACAGCAACAAAAACAATAACAACAGCAACAATGATAACAGCAACAACAACAACAATAACAACAACAACAACAGCAATAACGACAATAACAATAGCATAGTGATATCGAAAATTCGTTTCATATTTTACAAATATTAATCATTTAAACTAAAAAAGTTACATTTTATATTTTACACTTATGCTTATTGCTTACTCATTCATATTTTAATGGTAGCATACAATCAATCAGTCAATATATTACTCATTATATTCAGATACATTACTCATTCAGTCGATTGATCAGTCATATCGTAATGATTGGAGAAAGCTTGGAATAAACTAAAGATAAGTACTATGAACTAACAACAATAAATGTTAGAAACTTTCTCAAGTAATTCGAAACAAAAAACGTTGAAAATTTGAGAAGAAAAGCATATACATCCTGCCTAGGCATCAGTCATCATCATCGTCTCATTGTTATCACTACTGTCATTATCATTGTCATTATCCCTGTTATGTATCTGTCAATCCTACTTTTTGAGCTATACATTTGAGTAAGACAACATCACTGGATAGAATGTTTATACATAACGAAAATAAGTAGAGTGTGTGTACAGATAAAAACATGACATGACTCTATGTTTCCTCTGCTACTCATATCATCAATTTACGCCTGACATTCGCCGGCAGATTCCCTTGCTCGTGGTGACATCTGTGACATGACCTTGGATGTATTACATGCTGGGTTCAATGTATTATGCTATCCTAAATGTCCACTTGCTACTACACGTAACAGTGCTAGATTGTTTAACGTAAGGACACTATATGACAACTATATATGCCCTCACATAAATGACCGAAGTGTGTCATTCATATGTTTTATGTGATTTAAAGTGAGGTAATTTAAATTTAGCCTAAATCAACGTCTTTGCTACGATGCTTTCTGCTGGACTATTTTTATCCATTATTGCTGTGGTTGTATTAAGCGATGGTGATGTGGAAACTGCAGTACGTGAAATGACAACTACTAAAGTTGGTATTGAACATAATTCTTTCATCTGATCTATTCTATTTGTTAATTAATTATCACTTTCTATGTTGAAATAATATCCTCTTCATTGCATAATGTTTTATTATGTTACATATCGTTAAAAAAAAAAAAAAAAAGAATTATTTTAAAGCTGAGATAGTGTAACGATGATAAAGGTGTAAATTGGTATTAAGAAGTGCAAAGTTCAATTCCTTTGTAAGTTTATTTACTTTCCGTTATGAGAAATGAAATTTTGGTTATCACTAATATTTTAAATAATGCAAGAAGTTTTATGCACTTTTATCTATCATTACTGTGGTTGTATTAAGCAATAGTGATGTGGAAATTGCAGTACGTGAAATGACAACTACTAAAGTTCAAATCTGAATTAATAAAAGATTAAAATTTCTTCCGAAAATTACGAAGTAGTGAAAATTACAAAGCAGTGTTTAAATTTGATAAAAAAAATTGCCAAAACCAAAGTTTCAAGAGATTTTTGCTTAAAATTCGTTTGAATCAAATTATTTTATTTCCATACTTTTTTTTTCAATTATTTCTGTGAATCTGTTCCATACAACCATTTATTCATTTCGACCGTTATTTTCCCGAAATATTTCCTGCTACCTGTTAAATTTGCAGGATGGAGCAACATGGTGTCCAGTACCGGTCATTGGTACGCAGTGTCCCGCATCAAGCATTTTCCATTACTACAAATGTTGCGGTACTGCTAACAAAGAATGCTGTTTCAATCTACAGGTTCACTTTTCAATTTCTTTATGAAATTTTCTTGATTTTTTTTACTTCTTTTTTTTACTTTTTTTGTCTTTTTTTTTTACTTTCTTTTTTTGCTGTTTTTATAGGTTAGATCCAGTCTTTTTCATTTTTCTTTTTTTTTCCACCATTTCTACCATTTTCTTTCTTTTTCTACCATTTTGTAATACGAATCATATATTACAGACATGGGTTATTGTTGTTTTGGCAGTGGTTGCAGTAATGATGCTTGCATCATTCGTACTTTCAGTTCTTCGTTGCTTATTCTGCCGCCGTTAATTAAATGTCACTTCTGATGAAATATATGTCATTCAGCTATGGATTTCAATTAATTTGTTCTATGCTTTTTTCTCAGCAAGTTAATCTCTTATTTTTTTAATTTTAGAATAATTTGTAATTCACTGAAATGAATTTTTATGTTACGCTCATTAAAAATATATATAAAGTATTCTCCAAGTACCGCAATGAGCTAACTTACTGTCACATTTCAATAGATTGTTCTTTCTTAGGAGGGGGAAGTGCTGGAAATACTACTAAATTGTTTTAAAAAGTATCATTTATATATGATAAATCAAGAAATTATCTAATCTATTATTCCAGTAGAATTTCTGGCCATTTTTTAATAAAACTATAAAGTAATGTTGACTTTATTTCTTTTTTTTGATGACAATGTAACTTATAGCATATTGGAATGTGAAGTAAGGTTTAATATTGCGAAATGTGTTTTACTGTACTTCGTTTATTAATTAACACCTCTTACAACTTTTGTAATAATATATTGCGAGATGTTTTTGCGCAAGACTGATTATTCATCGGTATCATCTTCCCGTTTTTTATCACATGTATTTTTTCAATGGCACATCAGGAAGGAATATGGAAACATATTTTAGTGGAAAATCTTAAAATAACTTGTTTATTTTAATTATTTCGAATAATTATTATTTTATTAAAAAAACGACTTTTTTTTTAGATCAGTTGATAAGTTTGTGCTGAATATTTCAAATATTCATTCTAGCAAACTTTTCTGTTTTTTTCCGTGGAATTTTTATGTACAGAAATTGATGGAAAGATAATTGAGATATTAATTGGAAAATGATAGGATTTATCGAATCCAAAAAAGAGTAAATCCATCTTAACCAATTCTTAACCAATCACTCTACTTAATTCATTTTGTCGCCATTTTGTCAAGCATTTTTTCCCAGTTATTTTTTAAAGAAGGATTTTCTACTTAATTCAAGTTAATTACTTTGCTTAATTTCTTTTAATTTTAATTTTGTTATCCAAATCGATTTTACACTTTTTTAAAATAAAAAGTACGTACGTAACCCTTAAACACATTTCTCTTTCTACATTCACTTTCCTTAATAGTATAAATTTCTTTCTTCTATTCAATTAGTATTATTATTGTTTTCATAACGAACTGTCTCTTTCATGTTTTTTTCTTTTCGCAGAATTTATCAATCACTTAATAAACTTTTTTAATGATAATATGTCTGTACATATGGTTATCGGATCGGTCGTTGATAAGATCTATTAGGAAGACAAACTTTATCCTGAATGTTATAAATGCTCGTTCCAACAAACTTCTTTGTTCTTTTTTCGTCAAATTTAATGTGCAGGGAATTTCATTGAAAGATAAATTAAGTATTAATTAGAAATTTATTGAAAAAAAGGAAAAATTATGTCTGGAGAGTCATTTGAGCATCTGTAAAAATTTGATAGTAAGGTTATAATTTAATGATGCTTGTAGGAACTGGTACAAACTTTACCTTACCATAGAGTCATTTAATTATTTATTAAAAGATTTACGGTAAGATTCTTATGAATTTTTAGGTATATGAAAGCCTTCAATGATTACTTTGAACTACCAAAAGGAATGAATACGGTATGTGGTGAAGGGATTTAATTTTGTTTTTGTTTCTGATGAAATACATGATGTCAGAGTGATTTGAATAAAAGCGAGATCTGTTGGTTAGCTTTGACAAAAATCCAAAGGTTAGTTCATAAAGGTGAATTATTATCCATTAATGCATCATTGTGAATTAATGCTCGTTTACGGCAGGTCAGTTTGGCATAGTTTGATTAGGCTGATTGATTAACTAGCTGGTCATTTTTGAAAATGTCATATAAAGTTCTGAGAAATGATTGGTCGGTTAGTTATCACAAAAAGTAATATGAATTCTGGAAAAACTTAAAAATAATGTTCCTGCTTCAGAATTTCTGCAGTAATACTATCTATTTCCAACTCTGATATCCGATGAAAGCTTCTCGAAGAATTGAATTAATTTTTTTCCTCATTACAGCATGTTCTCGTATTAAATAAATCTGGAATGGCAAAAATTACAAACAAAATTATGGAAAATAGTCGTGACATGACTTACTCAATACCGCCATCAACTGCGGATCAATTATTACTATTACCTGCAGATAGCGCTTGTTTTACTCCCAATACCTCCTCAATTAGTTCAGCATTATCATTCGACAATGTTAATTATGATCATGATGATAATAATGGGCGCTTGTTTCTGTCAACTCCCGGGTTTAGCCCAATAAAACGAAAAGAAAATATGGACAATAACTTAGCTGTTAAAGTTGCACGTACGGGCGTGGGTATGACATGAAATTTTATTTCAAATGATTGAACAAATCGTTAGATCGTTACAAACATATGCTTCAACCGAAATTTGTAATGCGATAGATTTATAAAATGTACCTGAAACGTCTATCTGATTCTGCGTGTGTATGATTTCAAAGTTATATTTTTCAATGATTTCAGAAACAATCAAAAGCAATGATGCTGAACTAGATGATAATCGGATGTGTGATTCCAAATCAGCCTATAGTTTATTCGAAACTGAATATGATATTAAAACAGGTGCGTGTGTTTTTATGTTTACAACGATGATATCATAAAATGCCTGCTAAGCATATTATCGATCATAAATGATCCGTGCATGCTACTATTCAAACATTAACAGCATCAGATCTAGATATCAAATGAAATTTTAGCTGACCAACACAAATTCCCCGACTGGACTTGGTCCAATCATTCCAGAGCTGATTCATTCCCTCTATCAAACAAAGACAAAACCCATGCCTCGTCATCCTTCTATCATCTGCTCGACATGAATGTTGAACCTGGTAAAAAGCATATCATAAATTTTGAGTACTATATTGTATCAGTTTAGAAGACTCAGATAGACACAAATCAATGCGTATTAAATATTTCTCATAGCGTAATCGTACTTACAGTATTGCATGGTACTTATTAGGGGTCGTATTTAAGGGAAGAGTGGAATGAAATAAGGCCAAATAAAATGATACTATAGGAAATTAATTTATGCATACTAACGCCGTGTGAAATAAGATGAAGTGTTTAGAAGGACGAAATGTGTGAAATTTCTAAACCTTTTGAAAGAACAAAATGTTTCGACTTTGGAACTCGTATTTTTTCCACTTTTTAAATGATGTTTCTGTACTTCTTGCTGCAATACTTACTTAATTTTTGCTTAATGCAATATTTGTTCCTTCCATTTCAGTGGATAATCTGGCACAGAAACTGCATATCCCATCACAATATCAGTTAGAAGAACTGCAAAACTTTGCACCCTACGTTAACGTCGCATACGCTGAACGTACACCCACGGTTTGTCAATTCCTCACTTCATGTAGGCTCCAATTCAAACAGCCATCTGATTTCATCTCATGAAATATACCAATATTAATTCAAGAATCGGACAGCTTCACCAGATCACTAGTGTACCACCAACAGTCAGTGCTTTATGCTGCAGTTTTTCAATGACCAAAGAAGTCAAAATATTTATTAACAAATCGCAGGAAATTTTGCTTGTAAACAATATGTAAATTTAGATACCATATCTTCCGCATACCCTAACCAGGTCAGAATATATATTTGGCGAAAACAGCAATCATGCAGAATAGTATGCTTTACGATGCATTTCTTTCAACCTGTACCACAAAATTATCATTATGAGGCACAGAGGCAATGTAATAAACGCTCACTAAGAAAAGTTCAGCATGCCTGAATATCTGCTGAAATGCAATCAGCTTTGCTAGAACGCACAATCGAAGATAACACCTGAAAATGTCTAAGCAGAAACAACTTGAACAGGAAAGTAAAACTTCGACGCAATAAATTAATTTCCTGTTATCCACCATTAATGCACTAATATACAAAATCAGCAATTCACTGAACTGAATGACAAATTCGATTTCGGATCGCAAAGCTCGCTAGCGTATCGGCAAGGTCATCCGGAGAATCCTCTTGCACGGCATGACCTGCTTTCGGCAATATCGTTTCTTGAAATTTGCCCTGCATCTGTCCTACCTACAAAGTTGACGAAACTTATACTTCTTCGAGTTGAAGTTGGCAAAAAAAAATTGCATGTATCTGATGTTAATTTTTAATTTGCGAACTGTGGAAATTAGAAGGATTGAAAATCAAACAGGAAGTGAAAAAAATAAATTAAAAAAAAGTAGAGTGTGACGAAATAAATCTACAATTAGATCGGTGTCCAGTCTATCAATGCCAGCAAGAACTAGAAGTTTCGGTACACGACAGCTGAGAAACAGCTTAGAGAGGCCTTTGAACCATCCAACCCAATGCGGCTCCGTTTTGGACAAATCAATTCTCCATGTGTACAACTATAATAACTTTACACTAATATTAACATTACAATACACAAGAAAACTTTGGACGAGTTTTTTTTAGTATATAAAAGCAATATAGAGAGAGCACATCAGTAAAGTGATAAGACGATAAGCTCACATCGCCGGTTTTTTTAATTTGAGCAGGCATAGATACGCGAGCAGCTCGAGAATTTTTGGCTGTTCCCGATTTACAGCACCATTCTACCGCGGCTTAAATTCGTTAAATTAAATTTTCGAACATCCGGAACATATCAAAATCGAAAAATGACATTTGAAGGTTCAAATGGCTTGATTTCGTGATTTGAACGTTTAAATTAGTTTAATTGCGACATTCATAGCGGACACCAAGAAAAGGTCGCACAACAGATTTTCCCATTTATTTCCAAACAGAATGAGCAATCAAACTATATAAGCATACCACCGACACTGCCGAATTTCTGCGGTCGACTTTTTAAAAAATGTTTCATCGTGTTTAACGCTTCCATAGCTGTACCTTCCACAACATCAATGACAGCAATACCGATCACGTGCTTTATACGACCACTAGCTGCTACATGTACCGATAGAGCACCACCCATACTGAAAAAAAGAAGCTAGTTAAAACTAACACTCCTTTCCGGAATGAAGTTTAGGATCAAAGTGAAATCAACGGTTAGTGATTTATATATGTTGGTTTTTTAAAATAGTTTGTATGAATGTAACAAGCTAACCTATGTCCTATTATGAATGTCGGTGTTGCTTCGCCTGCACATATGTTTTTATGTATAGCTACAATATCTTCCGTTTGACGTTCAGTGGATAAATCTAATTCATCTGTCGTCACTGTATCACCATGACCTCGCAGGTCTGGTGCTACTATTCGGCACCGTAGTTGTGATGAAAGCTTCTCCTAAAGTTACAACTACCATCACTCATAAAGTTACCGGATCTGACGTACGATTTTTATAGCAAACTGTACTAATAATAAAGCTCCAAATTTAAAGTTGAGAAAACTTACTGTTAAGGCTGCCCATGTCAGACCAGAATAACCTCCGCCGTGAAGCATGTAAAAGATGGGTCCTATGTCTCCCTTTGTGTAAACGCAAAAAACACCGTCGTTAATGTTCAAACTAAGCTTCCTGTCGAAAAATTCATTCCATTCAAGCGGTGTCACGTCTATCATACCACTACGACGAAGTCCTCTACTCGTTGATGGAACTACTCTAAAATTCTTCAAATTAAAAAAAAAAACCATTGTCAAAAAATTTTTGCTTACTAAGCTTTGCCAATATATTTAAATACCGGATCCTTTTAGCTTCATGATAGATGATTTGCAGCAAATTTACGTTCCCCATAATTATTATTTTTAGGTTCACAAAATCAGAGCGACCACATTCCTGTCCTTATGATGTAAATCAAAAACAATTATCTCAGAACATTTTGCAGCACTCTGATACTTTCTCGGGCACATATTTAAGACAAAAAACGAGACTTACGATAACTTACCCGGTTGCAGTGCTACTTCCTTCTTCACTAACTGATGGTAATCCTTTCCTTGCTAGAATTTCTTTGCGCAGTGAACTCATTTCCCACGCGACACTTTTTTTGTGTTAAATGTTAAAAATGGTTGTAACTGCTGGCAGATGGAAGCTAAACAAAACAAAGGAATTACGCCCGCTACTGACATAAGTTACATTGTAAACACATAGGTTCAGTTCGTATTTGCAACGTCGTTACAAAAGATGCTTCAACAGTACAGTTATTTTATAAAATAACAACTGTAAATTTCTTTAATTTTACATGCTATGCATATAAATAGCCGAAAAGAACGACATAAACCAAAATCATAATAAAAGAACAAATAGTACTCTTTTACTCTAATACTATACTTCTACTGTTCTATTCTACTATGCCATGTTACATTGGTACAATTTTAATTTTTTTTTTTGTACAATTATTTAACGTATAATTTCAAAACAGAAAGTACCATGGGGTACTTTTTCTTAATTTAGAAGTAATATATTAGATTCGGGTTAATTTACGGAAATATAAACAAATGTGACAAGTAAAGGTTAACATATGAGACAGTGAACATGTTAACTTAACTTTAAACATCGGAGGAGACAAAAATATTCTCGAGGATATGGTAGGGAAGATTGCAAATATCCGGTAAGATCCATGCGGAGGTAAGGTACCGAGGAGCGATATTCACCATCAAGCTTAGAGAATAAAATTCAAAATCAATGGTATTCATTCAGCTAATATGACCCAAATCGATGTAGAATATGTTAAATAATACGAATCTCTTCAACCGTATCGCCTATATGTGCCTCCATGTTCCCTTTTAATTTTCCGGTTAAATAGCATAGCAAATGCATCATTGTATGTTAACGTTTCAGTTACTTAATAACGTCCACTTTATGCTATTTCGTATTTTTCCCAAGCAAACTGTCAACTTAAACTGTTCACAACATCTACATGATATAACAAACAGAAACGAGTACAACCTACGTTGTCCCCGTGACATCTCGGGGAAGAGTGAAGGGTACCAACAACTAATTTAGAGCATAAATCCACGAAACAAGGTTCGGCCATTGCAAAGTCGGTAATAAATGGCAGCAGGACTGCAATTCGAAATTCAAATTAAATTGCTGCGCATGAAAGTAACACGGGGAGAGGAATGACGGTTGCGGGAAATTTCCGGTGTTAACGATCTGGATAATCTGTTCGTGGCTATAATATGGTTCTAACCGACTAGTATATATATATATATATATATATATGTATTGACACTTGTATATATGTGATCCAGTATAAATAACTTATCGTTGATGATCAATTACGATATTTTGCTTTTATCGGCTGTGTTTTTATGCTTTATAATCCGTGACAATTTCCAGGATCAATGTCACGACGATATAATTACACTATCAAAGCTTTGGAAGAACGACAATTTATTCAGCGTAATTTCGTAACACTTCCTGAAAAAGCATTCAAATATAGCAATCGTGCAGTTAGCTTAAATGAGCGGTTTTCAATCATCGAAAGAGGTATACATTGGTATCCGTTATTTCGTCTACTTTGTAGCACTCATTCAATGATAAGGCAGTGAACCTTCTATCTCTAATATATGATGTCCGGTCTGATGATATTTCAATTCCGATCTTAAACTTGACATATGCTAATCACTTCTCCAGCTCCCTAATTCTCTTTGATTTAGACTTTCGAAGTTTGTTGAAAAAAAAGCATATATTATATTAGAAGCAGTATATATTATATTCATATTTTCTTTTACGATTAGTATGCTGTAGCTCCAAAGTACAGCAGCTTCAAAGCTAGATGAAGTCCAGTTCTAGGTCTTACAGTTTGTTGTTAAGCAAAATCTGCCAGCAACACTAATACAATGTTTCCAAATAAGATTGATTTGTCTTAGGATATATACTTGTGCCAGACTTGAAAGATACAAAACAAGATTTCCAAAAGAATGTACGTTTGATACCTCGTGTGCCAACAACCTGGAGTGAACAGAAGCAACAGAAAACCTCAAGCGCTGCAATAAAAACAAAGACAAAGAAGTGAACAATTCCTTATTTCAGTACTACTTTCATGTAAATACTAGTTTTACTGATTTTGTGTTTCCGTCAACGTGGTTTTTCCAGTTTGAATATTTTGTTGACAATATGTTTGTTACCACTGGTTGTATTGATTGCCTGTTTTCGTCAAAGTGATCCTTTCAGTTTGAACATTTTGTTAGTAACATGTCTGCCATCATTTTGAACTTTTATTATTCGCGAGTATGAAGATAAAAATAACATCGATATGAAGATAAAAATAACATCGAACAACAAAGTACCATCACAAGTAATACATAGAAAGACGTAAAAACGTTGGAATCAAAGACTTGAATGGGACTGTCGAGATCAAGCTGCAATTTTTTTTTTTGACATGACAAGCATTAATTTAATCTGGACCAACAGGAAATCAAAACGACCACTTACTTGTCACTAATGTTGATCAGCCGAAGATATAAGGATTCTTTTCCGGTGGAATCTTATGCCTTTGTGTTACACTGAGTACACCCAAACTTTCGCCGTATTTGTTTCCATACCATACTGAATACTTTTGTTAAATAAATATGTCACTTAACCTATTGCTTCTTCCCCATAAGATTTAATTTCCTTTGGAATGTCAGTACATATCGAATTTTGCAGTTTATGGTAGTGGAAAGTAAGGCAAATCGTAAAGAGCAAGTCATATGAAGATTGAATAACCGAACTGAATTAATTGGGTAACGGAGTGAGTTTACCTAGAAGTTCGATCCCTTCACTAATCGGCCTGAAGACGCGGTAATAAACTGAACCATTGTACTGGAAAGCAATCAGATTTTGTTCGTTCTCAACTAAAGATATATGAGCTGTTTAGGACCAGTAAAGGCCATCCTGTTATTTTGAAAACAACTTAAGTTTTACTGAAACAGTATCATCAGTGTCGAAATATTTCCTACGAAGTTTCTTAGGAAGACGGATGAACAAGTCATAAGCTAATTTTTAAAAGCATTAGAACTGCGTGAGTTTTTTAAAAGACCTTAGTTAAAGAGACAGAAATATGAGTAATATGTCTATTTGTATACGTATTCAAACTTTCAACAGAAAAAACGAAGTTTTTTCTCTTTGTTGATTTCGTTATCTTAGCAAAAAACTAGTCAGACTGAAGAAGTAGCCGAAAAAAAGGGAAGGGAAAAATTAAGCACTACTTACACCTCGAACTGTTTATGTAACGCATCCAGTTAGAATATCTTGGATCACTGCCATCAATATACTGTGATGGTTTCCCACTAATACGAATTTCCCAGGAATAACCATTTTGATCGGCTTTCTTCGGGTCAGACAATAATATTCCTGAAACTATTCAGTTTCAAAATGTTAACTCCAGTGGTTCATTTTATATGGAAATTAAACTACCTTGATATGGGCCAAATACCAGTCCTATCGGTATGTCCATCTTTGCAAAAACGCCCAACCCTGCTTTCGGAATTTTAGAAGTTTTGATTTCAAAAAAAGCAGGTAAGGTTTGTTCTGCTCTTGGCTTATTGTCTTCGCGTACCTGAAATCAATGGTAATAGTAGAAAAATAAAAACACTGACATAAGCCTCGTCAGTTTCCTTAGAAAACCAAAGTAGTTTGCAAATTAGAGGATTTAAAGAATTTCATAAATAATTACTGAATGTCACATTTACCTCACCGTATTAATATATGAAAGTCAAAAATGAATCGTGAATAAATGAAGTGTAAAATGATATAGCCTACTTCTCTATCACTGACAATAAACAGTGGATGTAGTCGACATGATGCGCGATAGTAAACTCCACAAAGATCACAATCTGCGAAATATTTCTTCATAGTTAAATGAACATTTTCTTTTATAGGCAAAAAAACCACAAACATACGTATGTAATCGTCATCCTCTAATTCAGATTCTGCCAAAACAATGCCAAAAGTTTTTAACTGCTTTTCTGAAAAGGCAAAGTAGTAACTGATGATCGATTAAGAACAAGTGTTCTTGAAATTTCGGACATGTATCCGACAAAGATATGAGCTCAATTATTCATTCATATTTGGAATTTTTATCTGAGAAATTCCAATTGTTTCAAGTGAATCGAAAAGTTACACACAATAACATTAAAAGCAGGCAGTTTATGAGGGGATGATACTTTTATGTATATACCATATGTGCATCTGTTGTGCTTTCTCAAGAAATAAATCTGGAGTCCGGAGCAATTCGAAGTATATAGCATGTATTCGGAGATATTACTGAATACCCCACTAACCCTGCCGATAATAATATGAAATCCATCGTAATTAATTATTACCTGACAATTTCTGCAGTAAACAGTACTTCGGGTTGTTGCAATCACTGGACATCAATTTGACCATTCGCTCTACAGCATCAACGACAAGACACATCTACAAAAAAAAAGAAACTTGCCAGAAAATACTATTTTTGATGAATGCAAAGTACAGCAGTGCAGAACTTGGTGGAATTTCAAATAAGTCTAATACCCCACTAACCACTGAATGATCGTCTTTATCAAAAGATCGTATTGCATCCAGCCATACGCATGCGTGAAACAAATGAAAGCCACAAAATGCTAGCGTAGCAACCAGATAGATTATCAAGAGAAAACGAAATGAAAGAATATTAAAAAAGAAATGAAATAAAAACAATGGGAAATCAAAGAAAGCGAAGCAATGAAAAGCTCGTTTTTTTTGTTAACTTATATCCTTGATTCTTGACCTCTTCAGATGATAAAATATCGATGGTATCCTTATGTTATGAATACAGGAATTAACAAAACCACGAGAATATTGCATCGTTGTAGGCATTTTTTAAAATAACTCATTCAACAGTGATGAAAGAATATTAAAAATAGAGAATAAAAAATAAACAGCTCGATATTATGTTAGAAAATTTTGCTTTAACTTGGATAGAGCAAAGAAGTACTTATTCCCTGCATTTCTACATTAAAATCTGCCGGAAGTTCTTTTAAAGATTTTATTCGCCGTAATAATAACATGTAACTAGATTCAGTAATCGATAACGGGTAAATCTGCAGGTTTATTATCGGGAATGATGTAAAGATGAGCTGCCCAACAACCGAAAACAGGTAAATCTGTAGGTTCACTATCGTTAGTTGATATGGGAATAATCCATTTCCACTGGATGGAAATTCGCTTCAATGGTATATGCAAGGAGAAGCTTTTGTTTTACAGGGACTTGAAAGCAAAATTGGCTGAAATAACCAATAGAAGAAAAAAGAGCCCAAGTAGGACATGCATACCTCCTCCTGAATGGGACTGCAACTCTGATAATCCAAGCAGTCATCCACTGAGCCACTCATAAGTATCACTCCTATAATTCTGTGAACAGTTACTATAGTTTCAGCATATATTCCACGCAATTTGAAAATATGAACAAATCATTCCTCATGAGGTGTAAATGTAACCGGGAGAAGGATGAGCAGATACGGTGGGAAGTGATTCGGTAGATTTAGTACAGTTTAGGATTTTAGTTCTATCCGAAAATTCTTAAATTTCAACTGGATATAAGAAAGAGCAATGTATTACGTACTTGTGCCAGTCTGTGTAGTACCAGTTTATAGAAGGGAAAAGGGATATCAACCTATTCCAACTTGACCTACTACCATTCTATTCTTACCCCATTTGATCTATTAACTCATCGTGACCTGACCTGACCTATTAATACAATGAAAATTGAAAGAACTCGAAAAAGCTTACAGACAAAGCCACACATACACACTCTTTTCCTCTATTTGTGGACTCCGCCCCATGTCGCGAAGTTCCCTTCGAATTCCGGAGCTAGAACGGATAAACGGAGTGGGAGGATGAAGTTGTCGCCGGTTCATTTCAGTTTAGAGTTCGGGAAGCTCGGGAAAGTAAGTTGCCTGTTTTAGTATCACACACGCTTTCTTATTATTCGCTATTATCTGTAAGGAAAAGGCTTCATTATGATTTTATTCTCTTGGTCCTTAATCGCTTTATTTCCTCTTACCCATTCACCTACTTATCTAATTGTTCATCCTACTTACCTAACTACTCACCACTTTCCCTCTTAATTATTTGCCTGCTTACTTACTGACTTACTTACTTGTCTTGATTTATCCAGTATGTTATTTTAGATTTATGGACAGTACAAATTTACGTTGGCTCCGAATGAGCAAAGAGTATTCAAAGGGTTTTGGAAAGATGCCACCATAAAGGTATGCTTTTTTGACTTTACAGTGACTTGCTGGAATGTCAGAATAGTTGTCAGAAGCTCTTTATTCCATTATCAACCACTGATTATTAGACAATCGACTGTTATCATATTTGAGGGAAATGTATGTTTAGCTTCTCCATTTCGATAATATGCATCATTCTTGACCATTGGTTAAGACTGGATGATATGAATAGTAATAAGTGAAGTAAAGATGGGAGATTATGATCTGATCAATGATAAATGAAGTGAGGGATAGAATACTTTGTGAACAACGGTGAACAGGCTTACTGTTATCGTTAGCTCTTTGTACATTTCTAATTTCTCCCTTACTTGTTGAAGGATATGGTCAAATGTTGCATTGATAAATTCAAATTAAGTGACAAATCATTTTCATCACATGTTTGTAGGTTCTTTCCAAACGTTTTGCGATGAATGATGGTTAAGGGTGTTGAAAAACACAAGGTTTGATTGCAGGTGTTAAGAAACACATGGTTTGATCGTTGGTATCTTTGGCTTCCTCAGGGTGTAGTATTCTACTTCATGACAAAGCTGTGCGTAAAAATGAACTATGAAGCTTACCGTAAGAAACCGGAAGATTTCATCAATGAAGGCATATCAAACGTTGTTGAGTAGTCTTTAATTCGAAATAACCGGTGTTAGGTCTCTATCATATTAAAACATTGTATCTTGTTTAAATCTTTATGATTCACTGGCTTGTAGTTAGTAATAGATTTTTGCTATGTGCAAGTATAAATAGATTAGAGTTTCAAGTGCTTGATCATGCAGTATGAAGGACAGAATGCTGGTCACTCGGCATCTAAGTGATCAGTTAGGCTTTGTCCAGAAAAAGTCAAACTTAGATGGCAGTTTAATTCTCGCAAAATTTTTTCTATTTCTTTTTATATCATATTGTCAGTAGTATCTACACAACTCTATGAAAAGGTGACCATATTAAATTTGTAATTGTAAGTTCTGTAAGTTTGTAGAACGGCAGTGCTTGTGAAAAAATTCTATAACAAATCGCCGTATGCCGATTAATTCTTCACTCATCACGAATGCAGTTTATGTTTGAAATTGTGAGATAGAAGCTGATATGTTTATACCACGGAAATTCTTGAAATATCTTAATGGGATTGGCCAGTGCAAATTTGCATGATTGCCTATCGATTCACAATTTAATTTCACTCCTTGTAGTCGGTGCCGGAAAAGATGACTGTCTCTTTTACATGAACTGATCTTTAGTAAAGTTCCATTCTTAAAATTAATCACTGCTTAAACGCTGTCAATAACTTGAAGAGTGGACCAAATTTATCAGTTCTACCTTATATATTTTAATTTCATAGGAATAGTATGCATAAATATATGCATTTTCTCTCGCTAGCAGAACTACGGTAATAGTATAACTGGAAACGACAATATGTGTGTTTTTTTTTCACTTAATACGATTGAGTATCTTTCAAAGTTATATGAAAAAATTGGATATTTTCTGTGCTTCTGGCATAGCTCCGGGAAATTCGACCCGTTCATATTCATCTGATAGCTATATAATAGAACACTTCGTTCATATTGGGATATGGAAGTCCAACTGATTTTCTTGACCAGATTCTCGTACTGAATGATATGGCAAACTATTTTGAAGATTTTGATACTGTTCATGATATAATACTTCGAATTAGGAATTCAACTTTATTGATCTAATTGGAATAGATGATTTGGTGATGGAAATGAACAAATGATAGTTGAATAGTTGAAATGTAGATTGTTGAAATCAAGCAATGCTGTTTTTAATTTCCTAATCACATGATTAACCAGTCTTTAATCTACCTGAAGACCCATCCAAAGGTCTTTACAGTGTGTACACAGCCCACTTTCTCTTGTGACTTACCAAAATTAGCACCACTCCACCATATTTTCATCGCTGAATGCGACCGTTTGTAAACAGAACCACGAGTATTACACATCGTTCGTCTCCTTATATTGCTTGCGTTTATCATTCACTCAGAACAAAAAATGAAATTTTATACACTTTTTTTTTTTACAAAGCAAACTTCAAACGACGTCTCGAAGAAAATTAGCGAAATCAAACACAAGACTTTGGTCAAACAGATGGCTAATTCAAAATTAATAAAAACAACACGAGAGATCTGTATATCAGTCTTTTTTTACTGCGACTGATATACAGAAAAACCAATTAGTGAGTGAAACAAGAACTGTTTGATCAGGAAGCTACTATTGGTAGATTAGCGTTTGATAGGATTCCATCAAGATATAGGTGAAACTGAACTAAGAGAAGATGAAGTCTAAAAGTGAATTTAAACGACTAGAAGTGAAATCGAATTCCGAACTAAAATTTACCACTCATATGGAGAAAGGTAACAGACCCGTTGTAGAAGTTTTCTGCTTTTATAGACCAAAATTCACATAGAATACGCGACAGTACACTAACGCTAATAGTTCCTATCGAAGTCCCTAAATGTATAAAAATGTGTGTATTATAGATACAATACAATACGATACAATACAGATACAATACAAATGATGTCGGGATATAAATTTCCGTAAGTTTAGGAAAGTATTTCCTTCTTTAAAGTGGCATAAATTTAGAACATTACATTTTCCGACAAAACTGTTGCGTAACTTGAAAATGATTCTCAGTTTGTCCCTTCTTTTTCCAACTACTGGAAATTTTACTCGTTCTATTGTTTCAGCTTTGGTAATACAATATTCAAAGATCGCTGGAATAAATCTTTTTAAATAATTGATGAAACCTCAAACACTAATTTATAGGAAATGAATTATCATTGGAAGAAAAGTGAAACCCATTAATACTACCCTTTCATCACTCATATGGTAATTGAAAGAGTCGAACTTTGACCTGTCAATATTTTCTATAAGTTCATATGTTCACTGGTTTATCCAGTTCCATCTTGTCCTTTGACATGATAATAACAACGTGTCGTTGATCACTGGCTGAACAAACAATTAACAGATGGCGTAAAATAAATGATTCTTTATAATATTTATGAAATGCACTGGAGGAAAGGCAACCTTTATACATACATCACGTTCCTCCTTTCGGAATGCATATTGTACTGTTCGCGTGATTCACGTAATTCATGTAAACTTCCGTCAACCATCCTTGCATTGCATGATTTTGTCGTCATAAACAGACTTAATAGAACCGAACCCCGTATTTTAGACCATTCAAAGATGACGTGAAGTAACGTGAAACGTCACATCACTCAGCCCATCAGTTGTTTGCTCCTCTTAAACAACCATTATGGACGCGTCATCGATAAGTGGCACCGCCCATCAACCGCTTAGATGTCGTCAGCTGATTGGTCGAGTGCTGACGTGGACCAGTAAGCGTGCGACCCTCAAACTGACAGTGTGGCTGATGAAGGGTGGTTTTTAGGCAGTTAAATGCTCAATAGATATTCATTCAGAGTTGAATGTGGTACTCTGTGCACTCCTTCTAGGCTGTAATATTCCCTCTTGTCTTTCTAGGTTGTAATACTTCGCTCTTGACCTTCTAGGCTGTAATCCTTCCCTCTTGTCCTTCTAGGCTGTAATATTCCCTCTTGTCTTTCTAGGTTGTAATACTTCGCTCTTGACCTTCTAGGCTGT